ATTGAACTTCAGACTTGGTGTATACTCCTGAAGAGGAGCTTCAGCATTTCAGTCGATTCGAGGAAGAGCTACAAGCCAAGAATGTGCCATTGTCCCCCAACCAGCTGGCAGAGCTGTATGAGGACACAAGACCAGCCATCATGCAAAGTCTCGTAAACGAGATCAACTCCAAACAGAATCTATGGACGGCGTCCACTGACCAAGAGAGATTCTACGGTAGGCTGGTCAGGGCCTCATCGAGAGTTGTGTGAATGAATTTGTTGACGACCAACTTCAAGGCCATTCTCTCGGTGATGCCAAGAAGCTTTGCGGAACACTCCATGAGGGGACTGAGGGGCTCGAGGAGAAGGTCTATCCACCAGGGGAGCTCGCTGACATTCCGAGTAGCTTCGATGCCCGCGATGCCTTCAAGGAGTGCAAGGACGTCATCGGTCATGTCTGGTAGCTGACATCCGTTAGCGCTAGAGAGTTGCCGTGCCGATGCTAACATGATCCTTCTTCGCAGGGATCAGTCGGCTTGTGCAAGCTGCTGGGCGATTGCGCCAGTTCAGGCATTCAGCGCCCGTCTTTGCATCAAATCGGGGGGGAAGTTCAACCAACTACTCTCTGCTGGCGAGTTGCTCGCTTGTTGTAACTTGGCGCACTCTTGCGAGTAGGATTGATCCACTTAGAGTTTGATTTCCAACGTTGAATCTGATGTCAGAGCTCGCGGCTGTAAGGGCGGCGTAGCCCGCGATGCTTGGGTCTTCCTCAACAAGCACGGCATCGCCACCGGTAGGCCAACCGTTAGCAATTAGGGGCTTTCTGAGTGTTTTTTTACATTCAGGTGGAGATTTCGTTCCAAAAAGTAGCATGGAAGCAGTCGATGGCTGTTGGCCGTACAACTTCCCAAGATGTGCTCACTATCAGAAAAAGTCGAAATATGGGCCGTGTCCAAAGGTGAGAGCACCGATCCTCGGGAAAGAGACACCAGCGTGGCGCTGGGGCTTCTATCCATCAGAAATCCTACGAAACACCTTCGTGCTTGGACCGCTGTCCCAATGAGAAATACGGAACTCCGCTGGACAAGTGAGTTGTGATCGATAATAAACTCATAGTTTCTAGTCTCAAGAGATCGTCACTTCACCGCACGTGCCGTACCCTACTGGTTCAATGGAATACGCAGTATCAAGAAAGAGATCATGAAGCATGGCCCAGTATGACCAGTTTTCTTCTATCCGAACAGTATGTATGTCCAATTCATCCTCTGTCAGACCTCGGCTTCATTCTTTACGTATGAAGACTTCTTTTCCTACAAGTCTGGTGTCTACAAGTATACGAGTGGCGCATATGTTGAGTTTCATACTGTTGAACTCATCGGTTGGGGTACCGAGAAGGGAGTTGATTACTGGTTGGCCAAGAATGACTGGAATGAAGAATGGGCTGACCTTGGCACCTTCAAAATAGCCCAAGGGGATTGTGGCATAAACGACTTGGTCCTCGGGGCACCTGCAGCCCTGAATTGACTGATGTCTCATTGTTAATTTTTTCAGCACAGGGTAGGTGTCTGTTAAGGAAGGTTGACCATATGTCCGTTCATATGATAAGTCGCATCTAGGTACCAACTAGTATTTGGTCATAGTGTCGAGCCGATTATGACTTCACTATAGTTGTCCCACTTGAGATATGCTGTATGCGCCAAGTTGATCGATAGCATATAGCTTTTGTGGTTT